TAATTATTTTTAATAATATTATATATATATATTTTTTAATTTATTTATTTTAATAATATTATATATATATTTTTTAATTTATTTTAATTATTAATATATATATATATTTTTTAATTTATTTATTTTAATTGTTTTATTTACATATATATATATATTTTTTTTTACTTTAATTATTATTTAAATTATATATATAATATATTTTTTTCTTTAATTATTTAATTTATATTATATATACAATAATTTCTTTTATTTAATTAATGTCGTTATATTTTTTAATTTTTTAAATTATAAATAACACATTATAATAATTTACGTTTATTTAATTTTTAAAATTATATTACGTATATAATAATTATTTTATTTAATTATATAATTTATAATATATTTATAATATCTATTTTATTTATATTATATATATAAAATAATTTATTTTATTTAATTATTATTATTATATATTTAATTATTTAAATTATAAATAAATATTATAAAAATTTATGTTCATTTAAATTTTTTAATTATAATATTTATATAATAATTACTTAATTTATATTATATATTTAAATAATTTGTTTTATTTATTTAATATTATTATATATTTAATTATTTAAATTATAAATAAATATTATAAAAATTTATGTTTATTTAATTTTTTTAATTATAATATTTATATAATAATTATTTAATTTATATTATATATTTAAAATAATTTGTTTTGTTTAATTAATATTATTATATATTTAATTATTTAAATTATAAATAAATATTATAATTTTATTTATTTAATTTTCTAAATTATACTATATATATAACAATTTAAATTTGTTTGATTTAATTGTTTTATTAATATTATTTATCTATTTTTTTTAATTATTTAACCTATAAAAATATATATTAGAATAATTAAATTTATCTAATTATAAATTTTAACTATTTAATTATTTAATATATACTTTATGCATTATATATTTTTAAATTTATTTGTATAAATTATAAGCAATTTTTGTTTTAACGTTTAATATTAAGCATATGTTTTCATTTTAGTATATTTAAATAATATTATTTATATAAATTGACTGTTTAAATTATATTATAAATATTTATTTTAATTTTTTATTTAATATATATTATATATTTTTTTTTATTTCGTCTAAATATTATTTAAATTGTATCATATATATTTATTTATTTTAATTCATTTAACTATTCAATTTTATATTATTATATATAATTTTTTATAACCAAATAATTAATATTAATTATTTTTACTAAATTTTTATTTAATTAATTAATTATATTTATTATATATTTATTTATTTTATAGTATTTAATTATGTGTTAATTTTAATACTTCGCTTTTATATAATTATTATTTAAATTAATTTAAATTTAAATAATTCATTATATATTTATTTAAAAAATTTTAGTTTATTTTAAATATTTATTCATATATACTTAATTTTATTGTTATTAATATATTTTATATACCACCTTAGTTGTTTTTACATTATTTTTTTTATATTAATATATTTTCAATTAACCCTGTTAAATTTTTTTTTTTTTTTTTTTAAAACCCTTTTTATTATATTTAATATAAATATACTTTTAATTTAAATATTATGTTGATAATATTTTTATATATTTATTTACCATAGTTTATATATATATATTATAAAATTTTGTTTTTTTTATTTTTTAATTTTTTTTTCTTTCTATATCTATTATAATCCTGTATATTCATTATTTATTTTTATTCGTTATGCATACTAATTTTTTTTTTTTAGAATATATATTGTCTGTAATTATTTTATTCATTTTCTTTTTGTTATTAATTGTTTTATCAATTCAGTATTTTCTTTGCTCCTTTTATTGTAGATTTTTTAGTTATTATTTTACTTTTGATAAATATATATATATATATATATATATATATATATATATATATCCTTAAGGTGATAAATAACTTTTAGTATCATTCTTTTATAATAATTCTTATGTCTATTTCTGATTTTCCATGAACATGTTTAATAAACATAATTTAGTAATAATTTATTTTTTAAAAAGGTAAATTGCTATCTTATACATAATTCTTTATTATCTTTTTTTATTTATGTATAGTTTTTCTTTATTTTCTTAGATGCTATTTATAATTGTCAATGTTTATAATTTTTTCAATTTAATAAGTTATATAATTTTTTTAATGAGGTCAGTATGCCGAAAATTATCACAAACTAAGAAAATTTTATAACTCACAGAACTTTCCTACATTTAGCATAAGATAAAATATTAAAATATTTTATAATAATAAATAATGAAAGTAACACTTAAACCTTGAATTAAAAAGGTAATTATTATTATAAAATTTTAAAAATATCAAACAATTTTTATAACAAAAATTTATGCATATATAATTCTTGGTACAATGGAAACACATGAATTTTAATTTGAAATTCATAATGATAAAATAAAACTTATACCAATGTAGAATGTTAATTCTGCACGATTAATATATTCATAAAGAAATGAAAATAATTGATACTTGTAAAATATTAAATACCACTATGATGTTATCTATATGTAGCACATTTCAGGTAAAATAACGAATAAATCGTTTAACTAAAATTATCTATTTTATTTTAATATTTCACATGTATAAATAAAACATCATTGATAAATACCATTAAAAATAAAACCTTGATAATGTATGAAATAAAAATAAAATATTATTGATGGGAATATGAGACAAAATTAATTTAGTGGAAAAACAGCGAAAGTATAATAAATATTAAATATTTTATATTCATAATATTAAAAATATTTTCACATAACAGTAAATTTATTTATATAAACAGCTTAATGTAATTAAAATATTTAAACTTACAAATCAATAAAATAAACTCTATAGAATTTGTTTTGATATAATTAGTCACTTTGATCATATGGGAATTTCTATTTTTTATTACTATTACCTTTTAAATAAAAATTCAAATATATAAGAGCTTAAAGAAAAATCATCTTAAATTTGAGTGACAAATTAATGAAACTTTGAAACAATATCGATAGTTATTAAAAAATTACTTGTTGCTAAAGATAAACATCCGTTGAATTAAAGCAGATTTATTGAATAATATATAAGTAAAGATTGTAAATTTAATTATTGTATATTAACTTTCTAAACAAATTTATTAAATTAATTCTCAAACTTCAATAAAAATAAAATATTTCAAAATAATTTATGACGTATCAATAAAGAAATCTTAAAATTTAAAAAAAAATAATTTTTTATGTTATAAGTCTACATAATACTTAAAATCCGACGAAATAATATAATCATTAACTAATAGATTCATTTCCATAAAAGGTATATTAAGTAAAAATAAGCGAAATTATATTTATATGATATAAAAAAGCAATTTACATTTAATTAAACTTTCATTAAAAAATTAATAAAAAGGATTAAAGAACATAATACACTTGAATTATTTAAAAATATATCATTGAAATTAGATAATAATATTTTACTAAGAGAATAATTCCCTATTCTAGAATAATGAATTTGGTCAAAAAATTTAAAAAAAAATAAAAAAATTTTAAATTATCTACATAAAAATAATTTTCTAATTAATATTTTTGTATTATGTTTAAATTAAAAGGGAATTTTTCAATATTAAGATTAATTAAAATGTGAAATTTACCCTTTAAAAGGGACTTATATTTTTTTTTGAAGGAAAATTGATATATTTTATATGATCTTATATAACTGAAACTGGTGTGTAAGAAGATTTTTATCGTAATTATAAATAAATTTTGACATTTTTTGTGTTTATAATTTTGACATTTTAAAGAATTAAACTCTTTAATGTAGTGGCTTAGATGTAAATTATTTACATAATTAATGTTAAGATAAGAGTTATATAATTATATATTTTTAAATTTTCTGGTTATAGAAAAAAATATAAAAAACAAGAATTTTATATTAAGTTTTAATGATATATATAGTATTTAATTCTATGAAACTTGTCGGCTTTTAAAGAAAAAATAAAAATAAGTTTATAGTTAATAATACTTTCAATAATAAAATTCAAAAATCATTGTAATATTTGCATATATATTACACAAATACATTATGTATTTTAATTAAATCCTTATACGTTTTAAAATGTGAAAGTATTAAAAAAGATAAATTTCAAAAAAAAAAAATAATTTTAATTTTGTGAATTCATATAGATAGAATAATTTCCTTATAACTTGCAAATTATTGAAGAAAATCCTAATCCTATAAACCTTTTTCATCTTCATTTAATAAAATCAGTGTCTTTTTTTTCATTTAAAAGTTATAGAAGCATACTATATATATATTTACAAAGATGAAATTAAAAAAAATAAATATTATACATATAATCCTTGATGTGCAATTTGAAAAAAGAAAATAAAGGAATCAATTTTTATGACAAAATGCAAAAATGTAAAGAAAATTTAATGTTTAAATTAAAATAAAAATTAAATGGATTAAAAAATACTTTTTTATGACTTAAATTGTTTATAAAAATAATAGTTTTTAAAAAAAGAAATTGAAGAGTTTAAATTATGTGTAATATATGCTAAGGTTTTGGAAATATATTAGAAAAATTTTTGAATACATTTTTTGCCTTTGTGTTAGCAATATTTTTAAGGTTATTCCAGGATAATGTGTTATATTTTTTCCCTTTTTTTTCGGAAAGCTTCTTTTCATAGAATTGATAAAATTCCATATTTCTACATTTTTTTTGAAATCCTATTTTCTTTAAGAAGTATTTATATTCTCCCTCTTGAGAAATAGAATAATAATTTTCTTCTTCTATTTTTTGAAATCGTGTAATCAACACATTCATTTCCTTTTGTATATTTAACATTTGATCTTTATTAATATGTATGCCTTTTTTTATTTTCTGTAATAAATTCCTTAATTCACTTATCATGTTTTCCACGACTTCTAACAACTCCTTTCCTTCGTTTTCCATATTTTTATCTTGAATAATATATGATTCTATTTCATTATTTGCCATTTCATGTTCATTTTCCCAGTTTTGTAAATACATACAATCTACCTTGTATATAAAATCATTGAATTCAATCACTTTTTTATTATACAATTCTTTTTTTTTTGCAATATCACTATCAATTATGTTTAATACACTATTAAAATTACTTTCTTTTATTTTTTTTATATAATCTTCAATAAAATTACTTGAATTATATGCATTTTTTTTATTAGCATTTTTAAAATCATAAATATCATTTAAATTTTTTTCTTTTAAAAATATGTTATTATAAATGGTGTTAGCACTTTCATGAATAAATGATTCATTTTTTTCTTCTTTCTTATATCCACTTTTAATTATGAAATTCTTTTCATCACTGATAATTTCATTCAATTCCCTTTCTTTTTTCAAATAAGGATAATGTTTTGTGGAATGAGCGTTTTCTTTTTTTGAGAGTTTGTTATCTTTACTATTCATGAATAATTTAGAATTTTTAAGTTTCCCTGAATTTAAGTGTATTTTTTTATTTCCGTTTAGTTCATTTGAAAATAATGTATTAACGTATCTCTTAGTATTTTTATCTTCTATTTTATTTTCCGTGTCATACACTACTGTATCTCCTTGCATCATTAAAAAAATTATTATTAATATATTTTTCTTTTTATTAAATACAACAAATTTTATTTATTTTTTTATTTTAATTCATTTTATTAAATTTTATTTTTTTTATATTTTGTTTTTTTGCTTTCTCACTAGTAAAAAATTCTATTTAACGTGTGCTTATTGTTTTTTTTGTTTTTTTTTTCTACAAATATAGTTAATTGGTGTATTATAGTTGTTTATAATGTTTTTTTAAAAGACCAAATTGAAAAAGAAAATTAAACTTACAAAAAAATAATTATTTTTTGTATTAATATGATAAAAACTTGATAATAAAAAAGAAAGCTATAATTAATAATTATTTTCTTTTTTATATTTTTCATTAGCAAAATCAAATTGAAAAGGACTTAACTTTTTTATTATTTTTGTGAACAATTGACAAAAAAAAAAGTTCATTAATTATCGTTACTTGTTAAAACTTGGACTAAAAAAAAATTGTATTTTTTTAATTTTCTATACCTTGATATTTAAAATATTTTGCGGAACTGTACATGTGGTAGCACAATTATATATTTATATTTGTGTACAATTTAATAATTATGTAAAATTTATAGATTAATTTAATAATAAACAACACCTAAATAATGTGTACTTAATCTTAAAAAAAAATTAATACAAGATGTTCATGAAAAAAAAGTTAAATGAATTTCATTTAAATCAAATATTTTATGAAAAATATTCATATATACAAAAAAAAAAAAAAAAAAAAAAATATACAAGTTTAAAAAATTTTTTTTTAATTTATTTTTTATTTCAAAATATAAAATTGTAAATTTAATAAAAATTAAATATCAAATAAAAAAAAATGTTACGGATGGAAAAATAATTTGTAAAGGATTCAGAGATTTTCATTATGTTTGTTTTTATTTTAAAGAATACTAAATTACCATATGTAAGTAACGTTTTATCTCAAATAAAATATTTTCATTTAAAATCAAATTTTATAAGTGTAAATTTTAATCATGGATATAATAAAAAAGAAAATAGATTAAATAAAAAAAGAAAAATACATTTACTTTTTGATGAAAGTCTTAATATTCAAGATAAGTTAATATTATTTAAAAACTTACCAAAATGTAAAGGTGAAAATTTTGAAGAAATATGTGCTAAAAAGGTGTATAAATATTTGTTGAGTGAATATAAGAAATGCTTTAATTTTATGAGTTTTTGTGAGATTATAGAAACTATAAAAATATTTATTGAAATTGACAAAAAATTTAATTATGATTTTTATATATCAATGAAAAATGTAGATAAAAAAGTAATGAATAAATTAAATGAATTGGATTTTAGAGAAAAGGATGTATCTTTCCATAAAAGAGAAATAATAGGAAAAATTTGCAATAGAATGATAAAATATGTGCATGAAATAAGCGGAAATGAATTAATTCATTTCATTATTTATTTTTATAGATGGAATAAAAATGATAAGAATTTGGTTCTTTTTTATAATTTTTATTTCAATCATGTTTTTAATAATTTATTTCTTTTTAATCATGAAATTTACAAGATACTTTTTATATTGAACACATACCTTATTAATAGTAATTCAAACGATATTTTTAATAAATGTTCAAATGGAAAAAGTAAGTTAAAATTTTGTTATTTCAAAGAATTTAAAAATAAAGAAAATTATTATATTAAAATCAAGGAAGAGGAAATTTATAAGAAATATTTACATAAATTTTATGAAGACATAGATAAGATTGAGAACGAAAAGGTATTAAACATTTTAAAATTATATGTTGATAATTCATTTTTTAATATAAATATAGACCTTAAAATTTTTGATAATCTTCACAAAAATTTAAGTAGCAAAAATTTAGATTATCTTATAAAATTATTAAAAATATGTTGCATTATGATTAAGAAGCATAATTATGAAAATGGCATAATAAATTCCACTGTAAAACAAATAATTTTATCTATATATCAGTTTTTAAGAGAAAATAAATTAAAAAAAAAAGTACTTTGTGATATAAAATATAGCATATTATTAAATTCAGTAAATAATAAAAAAATTTTAAAGAAAATTATTGATCACAATTTTGTTTTATTTTATGAGTATTTATTAAAAATTTTATCGAATATTAAATTTGTAAGTGTTCATTCTTTATCTATATCTCTCATATCTTTAAAAAATATATATTTTACCTTGTTAAAAAATAAATATTCTATTGATAATATGTTATTTTATTCTACTATGAAGTATAGTTTATACTTGTCTAATATTTTTTTAGAAAAATGTATTGAAATGGAAAATAAAAATGCAATGTATGTTTTGTCAAATAATAATATAGGGAGCGATACAACTTTGGAAAATATGAAAGAAATAAAAATAATAAAGAAAAATGAATATTTTTTTTATAAAATAGAAAATTACATTGATTTCAATTTTAAGTTAAAGGAGAATGATTTGTTGTTTATTAAAATATTATCTAATTCTTTTGTAAAAATTAATCATGTTTATAATTCTTATGATTTTTATTTATTGTTCAACAATATTTCATGTATTTTGTATTATTTTTTGGTAAATAGAAATACGATAACAAAATTTAATGATACTTACATATATATTTTAAATGATCTTTCTTATATCTATAAAAATATAAGAAGTCAGTGTAGAAATGATAAATTTATATCATCTTATATTAAGGAATTGATATGTAATAATATTTTAAAAGTTAGTAATCTTTACATTAAAAATCTTTATAAAGAAAATAATTTTTTAAAAGATCAATATATATGTTCATTAATTTTTTTGAACAATTTATTTTTTGACAAAATTGCTCTTTTTGATTCTATATACAACATATGGTGTCATGTTTATAAAGCATATAACTATTTTAAAACTAATAGATTAATTAATGAAGATATAATTTCTTTACTTCTTTTAACTTGCTCAAAATTTCAATTTTTTATTGAAAATAATACAAATAATAGATATTGTAGAAAAGAGTTGGTAACTTTAAAATATAATATTATTGATGATTTAACCAAAAATTATTTAAATACATACGAATATATATCATTAGATAATTTTTCGAAGATTTTTATATCATTATCTAATTCCAAATACATGTATGAAGTTAATGAAAATTTATTAATAAAGAGTTTACACAATGAAATTATAAAAATTAAAAAATTAAAAAAGGGAAGCTGTGTATATAATAACATAACATATGACAATAATACAAATAAAAAATTAGAAGATATTTTTATTAAAAATATAAAGCATGAGCTATTTTTAAATTTTACTAAAATCATTGAATGCTTAATAAAGTTAAATATATTTTTACATTTAAAAAAAAAGGATACATACTTAAACATGTACAAGAAGACATTTTGTTACATACACTTAAAAGAAAATATACTAAAAAAATTATTGTATATAGCTAATAACTTGTACATATATCAAATATATTCTTATACATGCGAAATATTAAAGAAATCAATAGGAAAAAATTTTTCATATAATTTTAAGAACAATGTAGAAAACAAAATATTTGAGGATGTTATTAGGTATATATCAGAGGATGATTATATTGAAATTTCAAACACAATTTTTATATTATTTTATGATTACTTGGAAAATTTATATGATGTTAAATATAAAAATGGTTTAATTTTCCCTTTGAAAGATAATGCACATTTCGTTAAAATAAAACGTGATAATAAAAGAATCAGTGTATTAAATAATAATCAAATCATTAAAAGTGATAATTCTGAAATATGTATCTATGATAATGGAAATAATATATATACTAAAAACGAAGAAATTATAAATAATTATAATGAAATAGATATAAGTAGCAATTACAGTGAAAACAGTGTAGATAACATTCTGAAAAAGGGAGGAAACATAATTTATGATATAATTAATTTATTAGGGTTTTTAAAGATAGATAAAAACAAATTAATACTTTTTCAAGTTTATATGTATCTATATGACATAAAAAAATTTAAAAAGACTAATTCGTGTTCTATGTTTCATATGGAAGTTTTTAGCATTTTAAAAGACATGAGTTCAACACATCTGCGGAATTTCAAAATAAAAAATGAGGAACCTTCTTTTTTGTATACAATAGATATAGTACTATTTAAAATAAAATGATGAATAAAAATATAATTATTTTAATGTAATATGCTTAATTTGTCTAACTATGTATATATATGTATACATATTTATAAAATAAGAAGACATTTTCGGTGTTTAAGGGTTTTTGTAAAAATATTTTTCAAAATAATATAAAAAAATTTTGTGTATTACATCATATTCATATATGTAAAGTAATTAAATTATTTTTGCAGTATGAAGTTTTATTAATTTTTTAATTATTTTTATATGTATTTTTAAAATGAAAAGAAAAATTTAAACCACATTTGTTATGCACAAATTGAAAAATAAAAAAAAATATGAATTTTTTTTTCTTCAATTACAATTTAATTTATAATAAAAAAAAAAAAAAAAATTAGCAACAACTTTTTTTTTGATTTTTTTCTTTATCTAAGTTTATTAAGTTTTTATTTATAGTACTGTCTATGCTACCTTTCTTATTTATAATATTTTTATATATTTCTTCTGCAAGCATATAAAAAATATTCTTAATATTCGTTCCTGTTTTAGCACTTGTTTGAATAAAAAGTAAGTTATTTTCTTGAGCATACTTTTGTACTTCTAACATATCCACTTGAAATTTATTTTTATCTATTTTATTTGCAACTAAAATTATAATATAATTACTACTAATTTTTAATTGATTTACCCATGTTTTAGCTCTATCTAAACTATTTGAATTACTAATATCAAAAACTACTATAGCACATGTAGCACCCCGGTAGTATAAAGGAACGATACTTGCATATCTTTCTTGTCCTGCTGTATCCCATATATCAAATTTTATATTACATATGCTTTCGTTATTATTATTATTATTATCATTATTTTCATTTATAGTATTATTATTTATATTTATATTACTATTGTTTACTTTTAATTCATTCAAATTAACTACATACGTACAAAATGAAGCACCTATTGTTGTGTTTGTATTATCATGAAATGTATCTTTTGTTAAACGTAACACTATACTTGATTTTCCTACTGAAGACTCTCCTAATAACACTGTTTTATAACTATTTTTCTTTTCCATTTTTCATTTTTATACTATTATATGAGAATATAAATAACAAAGTAAAAATATCACAAACAAATAAAAAAAAAATAACATATATTTAGTTACAAAAAAAAAAAAAAAAAAGGAAAAAGTGAATTGTGAAGGAGAAAGAAATGATTATACGTAGTAATACTTTTAAACACAAAAGATATAAAAAGATGTTGAATTATATATATAATATATTCTTGCAAGGTAACAAAAAAATAATAGAGGAATAGAAAAATAAAGAAATAAAAATGAAATAATATTAAAAATATTCTATTATAGTTAAAAAAAAAAAAGGAAAAAGGAAAAAGAAAAAAGGAAAAGGGAAAAAGGAAAAAGGAAAAAGAAAAAAGAAAAAAGATAAAAGAAAAAAGAAAAAAGATAAAAGAAAAATGAAATAAAAAAAAAAGTAAAAAAAAAAGATAATTTAAATGAAGGAAAAAAAAAAAAAAAAAAAAAAAAAAAAAATACAAATTATTATTTAAGTTCAAAATAAAACTATTATTTAAATGAAGGAAAAAAAAAAAAAAAAAAAAGATAACAAATTTTTAATTTTAAATAAAACTACAATTTAAACATAAAAAAAAAAAAAAAAAATAATTACACATAATTGTAATTTTTTTAAATAAATTTTTACATTTTTGTAAAAAGAGTGCAGCCATGAAAATGCGTTAAAAAAAATATTTAAATGTAAAAACTTTAAATTCTTTTAATCAAATTTTTTTCCAAGAATACCAAGAATAATTTAAAATACTTTTCAATACTTTTAGATTTAAAAAAAAAAATAGATAAAAAAAGGAAGATAATATATATTTTTATTTCTTTAAAAAAGAAAAATTATACCTTGTAATTAAAAAAGTTTATAAACTTACATTTTTTTGCTACTAATAAGTTCTTGGTAATAATTTCTTCCCATCATCATAAGGAAGGTATCTGCTCTTATCTTTTGGACGATAACCTAAAGTATTATCACAAAAAAGTGAAAATATACCTTAATCTGATATTTTTTTTTTTTTTTTTTTTTTTTTTTTAATACCTCCATATGATATTTGTTGGGATAACGCAGGTAATCGACGATTTGATTTTTTCTGATTATAAAAATCAGCCCTACAAAAAATATATATATATATATATTTATATAGATTAGAATATTATAAAAGAAAAAATGATAAATTTTTTTTTTTCAGAAATATATTTTTTAATTATATGTAATAAAACGCTATAAGTAAAAAACATTTTGAGAGATAAAAAATTGACTTAAATGTATAATAACCATATAAAATAAGCTTCTAAAAAATAGTCACTTGATAAATTGAATATATGCCTCAGTTGAAGTATACTATACTTACTCAGCTCTGTAACTATTTTACCGCCTTTCTTAACTTTTTTTTCATATAAATGTCTGAGATAAAATATGAAAAAATAGTTTCATTATTAATTTATTTAATTAAATATTTTTTTTTTTTTTTATAAACGAACTCCCATAATATATCTTTTAGGAGTGAAGGAAATATATCTACTTTACTAGCTGCTTCATCTAAGGAAACTAAAAACTGAATATAAAAAATTTAAATTATTATAAGTTATATTAAAAAAAAAAAAAAAAAAAAAAAAAAAAAAGCTAACCCCAAAAGCATATTCTTGGCAATTTAAAAGTTCTGCATTAAAAGTATATTCTGGAATGTTTTTTAAAAGCAACCAATCACGAACAATTCTCCAAGTAATATCAAAGATATATGTATTAATTATATCTCCTTGATAATTTTCTTGTCTTAATCTTTTATTAATTATCCACAGATGTAAAATATAAAAATACATTTTCATATTAAAAGATTCATTTATACGAAATAATTTTATTATTTCTTCATTTTCTAATCTTTCAATTATTAGATGAATTAATCTCCATGCACATTCACCATATTCTGTATGTTTTCTAATAGAAAAAAAAAAAAAAATTCTCTTATTTTTTTTTTAAAGAATTATCATTAATATAAACTAAGAGTTTAAAGTATATTAGACATAAATTTTATCTTTTTTTATTTCATTATTTTTTATTTGAATAATATATATATATATATATATATATATATATATATATATTATGAATTTTTAATTCACATAAATAAAAAGTATATATTTTATATATAAAATTAGTTAAAATTTACAAGAAGATTTTATAAATAAAAGAACTGATTATGGAACGATCACATTGAGGGATAGGTATAGCATATTTTGAAGATTCTTGAATACTTATCTTTGTATTTTTGTCTTCATATAATTTTTTGCTTTCATTAACTTTTAGATTATCATATACTTTTATGTCACTTATGAAGTATCGAAAATTTTTATATCTTCTATTTAGTAATAATATTCTACCTTTATTCCACATCAGAGAAAATTATAATAAAAGAATAAAAAAAAAGTCTTAAAAATTATAAAAAAGATTTTCACTTCTTTTCATTTTCATTTATTTACTTCTTTTTTATTTTTATCTTTACATTCTTCTTTATATACATATAATTTTAAAATAATTTTTTTTTTTTTTTTTTTAATATAAAAAAATATATTACATATTAAAAAAAAAAAATTTTTTTGACAAAAAGAAAATTTGTAATAATGAAAAAAAAAAAAAAAATTATAATAAAAAAAATAAAATAAAAATCATAAGAAAAAAATTAAAATATAATAAAAAAAATAATTAAAAACTAAATAAGAATTATATTATCATAAAAATAAAAAAAAAAATTATGATAAAAAAAGAATAATTATATAAAGAAAACGAATTATGTAAGTTTCTTAAAACAATAATATAAAAATATTATGCGTTTTAAAACCTTTAAGGAGAAAACTTTGTAAAAGTTCTTAATAACATTTTTTTCTTTTTTTTTTTTTATTCACTTAATATTTAAATATAATACATCCATATGACATTCCAGCTCCAAAACCACACATACATATTATATCATTTTTTTTTATTTTACCATTTTGTATCTATTAAAAAAATAAAAGATAAAAAATAACAACATAAGAAAGAATGGTACTTATAATAGTAAGTATAAGTATAATTATATGAAATAAATAAATTAACAGTTTATAAAAACAATCTTTATATATCTATATACATCATTGTGTTTTTGAATTTTTTTTGCTATAATTTTACATTTTCTGAGAAACATAATGGAATTGAGGCTGCAGAAGTATTTGCATGTTCTTCTAGATTTACTAAAACCTATTAAAAAAAAAAAAAAATAATAGAGATAATAAAATAATAAATAATTTTTAAAGAATGAAAAAATATAAAAAAATTTTATACTTTTGACATAGGTATATCTAATTTTTTGGCAACTGTTTGTATAATTCTTATATTGGCTTGATGAAATACAAAGTAATCTATATCTTCAATATTAATATTTGAATCATATATTGCTTTTTGTAAAATGTTTGGTAGATTGTTAATGGTATATTTAAAAACTTCTTTTCCATCCATATTCAATTTTCCGTATTTATTTACATTAGGGTTGTCTAAATTATATGAGTTATTTTCAAAATTGATGGTCAATAAATCATTTAATTCACTATTAGAACCTATGTAATAATTATAAATTTTATTTTCTTCATTATCTTCAGTTCTTTGTAAAACAACAGCACCTAAAGAAATATATAATTTCATATAAACAAAACATATATAAAAATAATAAAGATATATTAATAGTTATATTAATAATATGTACAACTGTAAGAGTAATAATGATCACAATTCTAATAATTATATAAATAATTAAAAATGTATTTTACAAATAATTAAAGAAAAAATATAACCTGAAGCGTCACCAAACAAAACACAAGTATTACGATCTCTCCAATCAACAAAATTGCTTAATGCATCACTTCCAATAACCAAAATGTTTTTATATCTAGGTAAAAAGTTATATGCTAAAAAATATAAAACAAAAAAGCATATATATATAAAGAAAATATTTAAGAATATTAATTATTTTTTTTTTTAAATATAAATATACCTGTAACAAAAGCAAAAACAAATCCTGTACATGCAGCTGTCAGATCCATATTAACACTATTTTTACACCCTATTTTGTTACTAATATTATTTGCATCTCCAAATAAATTTTGAGGAGTAGAAGAAGCATTGATTATCTGAGAATAATAAATATTGAATATATATTAAAAAATTATAGTTTCTTTTTTTTTATAATAATAATAATATAAATATTCTTAAAAAAAATATATGCATAAAATAAAAATTATAAATATTTTCCTATATATCATTCTTATTTCCATTATTTTATTATTTCTTCATTTAAATAAAATTAATATTATTTATAAATAAACATAATAATATATATATATATATATTTATAATAGGATTTTTATAAATAATCATTCAAACAAAAAGAGAAAAATTTATACAAAATAATTATTAATAAAGAGAAACTAAAGGTAAATAATGTACATATTAATTGAATTTTAAAATAAAATTTTGTATTTATAGCATTTCTTAGTAGAATTAATATATTATATCTATTTCCTGGTAGTAATGAATACTGTAAACAAATTATTCATATAGAGTATCAAAATTCATAATGCAAATTTTCATATTTTTATTTACCATATCTATATCTAATGGATTTAGTGAACAACTTTTTAAGGCTTGATTAGCGGATTCTATTTGTAGCATTGATAAATTTTCATTTCTTTTTAGTATTCTTCTTTTTTTAATTCCTGTTCTAGTTCTTATCCACTATAAATATAATATTTAATTTAAAAAACTAATTTCGAATATTAATACTGTGAATATATATATATTTATTTTATTCTCTTTTTTTTTTAAAATAAAAAAACAAAAAAGGAAATATAAATATTACATCATCACTTGTCTCAACATATTTTTTTAATTCATCATTTTTAATTTCATTAGAAGGATAAGAATGACCATGTCCTATTATTTTACCTCCAACTAATCATAAAAAAAATTAATTTTTATACATATTTAGTGAAAAATATTAATATGTTAAATTTTTTTTATAATATTCCACTTTTTTTTTTTTCTTTTGTACAAAAGAAAAAAAAAAAAAAAAGATATTATTAAATATATAATATGAATATAAGTAAAGAATTTATGTTTTTGTTTTTTTACAAGTGTTTTCGTATTTCTTACATTTGACAGCGGCTCTAATTTTATAGGTGTATGGAATATTTTTAACACTATTTATAAAATTGTATTTATTATTTTTATTTGTTTCTAGTAAAAAAACGCCATTATGAATAAACAAAAATGAAATAATATAAAGAAGCATTTTTTCTTTTATTAACTTTACACTTTTATAGCCTCTTATTAAACCATACAAGATCAATTATTTATATTTTTTGAAGAATTTGAAAATGCAAAAAAATGAAAAAAATATAAAGTATTTAATATATATATTTAAATTATGATAAACAAATTTAAAATACAATTACAAAAAAAAAAAAAAAAAAAAAAAAAAAAAATAAAAAAAAAAAAAAATAAAATAAAATAAAGTGGTTATAATGGATAATTATTTAATGCGTGTATGATCACTTCTTTTATTCGCTTCTTTTGATTCACTTTTCTTTTTTAATATATTTAATACTTCTGTGGCATTTTAAATAAGAAAATTAAAATTTTCCTGTTTTTTCTTACTTGAGTTTTTTGTTCATGCTTTTTGTTTTCATTTTCCTACTTTTAGTTTTTATATTTTTTTTTTAAATAAAAACATTTAAAAATAAGGTGAGAATATTAATTCAAAAAGTTAAGACAATAAAAATATTAAAGATTATTTAATTCTTTTTTTCTTATCTCTTCAATATTTTCATATTTGTTCAAAGTATTTATATGTATAAATAAACATATTCGTGTGTGATATAAAATTAATTTTATTTTTACAGGAATAAAACTTAATTACTCTTCAAATAAATATATTTTTAAGTGTTTTAATTATCTATGTTAAATAAAAAATGATTCTAGAAAATTTTCTACGCTACTAAAAAAAAAAAAAATTACATAAATGAGTTTATGTTTGGCTTTTCTTCGTTTACACCACAAAAAATAAAAACATTTTCAAAATTTAAGCAATGGAACGTTTTCCTCAATATATAAAAATTAATTTTTAAAATGTATATATGAAATTAAAAAAAAAATTAAAAAAAAAAAAAAAAAAAAAAAAAAAAAACACCGAAAATTAAAAAAAATATTTATAATAAATTAAAAAAGAAAGCTTAAATTTTTTATACTAAAAAAAAAAAAAATTAAAAACAAAAGGAATAAAAAAGAAAAGAATAAGAAAGTTCATGTTTTATGTAATTCTTTTTGGTTTAATAAAAATAAAAATGCAGTCTATTTAGAGAGTATTAAAAAGGAAGTTAAAAATAAAAGAAATCTTATTTATATTTAATTAAACATAATAATTATTAATCAAGAAAAAAAGAATAACGATCGTATAATTTATGTATATATACAAAAAATATTTTCAAATAATGCAAATGTCATAAGTAATTTTTTTTATTGTTCTTCTTTACAAGGAGAAGTGAACTATAAATAAAAAATTTATTTTTTCAAAATTATGAATGAAAGAATATTAAAAATTATTTGGGGATGTGACTTATCATGTCTATTAATCAATAAAAACTATGACTTAAAGTTATATTCATTTGTAAAATTTCATTATTGTAATTTATCACTTGATAAAAGAATTTTCATTAGCAGGAAAAGATCCAATTTAATAAAAAATGAAAAGAAATGTTGTAAACAAAATTATAAAATAAGATATGACGATTTGAAGAAATGCGAAATCACTGAAAGGAACAGTTTAACTATAAAACATAGACTGAATTTTTATGGAGACACTATTTTGCATTCTAGAAATAATATTTTTAATAAATCATATTGTAATTATTATTTAAGGATAAGAAGTTACAGTGGCATGAAAGATAATTTTAAAGATGAAGAAGAACTAAAAAAAGAAATCAATTTAATTAACAATAATGATAAAAAAAAAGAAAAAATTGAAGGAGAAAAATTGAACAGAGGAGATATCTTAAAAGTCGATATATTAGATAAAAAAGAATACATATGTGATAATACAAATAATAGAAAAAATGATAAAGAATTTAAGAAAATTGAAAAAGATAATAATTTGTTAATTAACAATAACAATGATTTAAAAGTGAAATTTGTCAGTTCACAAAAGGATGAAAATTATAAAACATCAAAGTTGAATAATATTATTAAAAGTGAAAATAATAAAGTAGGAAAAGAGGATAATTTAAGTAGTAACGGAAATGATCAAATTGAATATGTGAATAATATAAATACGAATTATAATACTGAAACAACGGAAAAAAATAAAGAAGAAAGTCATAAATTAAAAAAAAAGAATGAAATAAAAAAAGTATTAAACATAATATTTTGTTCATCTATTCCCATGATTGGTTTTGGTTTTATGGATCAATTTATTATGATCCGTTTAGGTGATATATTTGATGCATCTATTGGGGTATCTTTTGGGATATCTACACTTTGTGCTGCTTCTTTTGGACAGCTATGCAGTGATACTTTTGGCATTTTTTTTGGATATGTTTTGAATTATCTACTTCAAAGATATAAAGTTATAGAACCAGCAAAATTTGATATAAAAAATAAAGTTTATCAGTATTGTACTTTGATAGGATCAGTTTTAGGAATTTTACTTGGATGCTCCATTGGTATGTTACAGTTACTTTTTATTGATACTAGTAAAAGTGAACGGTTAAAAAAAAAGAAGGAGTTGGATTTTATTTTTCAAATGGTTATGTGTGATTGCCCTAATATTTTAAATTGTGAAACTTCTACCTTATTTTTATATGATAAAGCAAAAAATGAGTTATGGAGTAAAGCTATACATGGTAGAAAACATATTATTAAGATTCCTGTAAATAGCAATGAAAAAAGTTTTAATTTATGGGTTCTTAGAAATAAAGAAATTATTAATTGTAAAAATGTGTTAAATAATGAATTATATAATCCATCTCATGATGAAAAATTTAATTTTAAAACAAAAACTATTTTGGCTGCACCTATTTTAGACAAAAATAATGAAGTTGTTGGTGTTCTTATGTTTTTAAATAAATTAAGATCTCATGGAGGTTATTTTACTAGGGATGATGAGAAGCTAGCAGAAATGATGAGTAAACACATTTCTATTTTTATGGAAAAATTTAATTATATTAGTGAAGGAGATAAAAAAATGATTATTTTTGATCAAGAGAAAAATAATATTCAAGAAGATGATCAAGATGAAGATGATACAGATGAAATAGATACTAATATGAATTTACAAGAAGAAAAAAGAGAAATAGAAGAAATGAAGGAAGAAAATTTAGAAGATGAAAAAAAAAAGAAAAAGAAAAGAAAAAGGAAAAAGAATATTATTCTAAAAAACATTTCACACATAGAAGAAGATGAAAATATATTTGATGAAGGTAGTGAAAATGAAAAAGAAAAAGAATTTGATGAAGAGTATTATGATGAAAAAACTGACGACGATGAATATGATGAAGATGATGATGAAGATGATGATGATGATGAAGATGATGATGAAAATGATAATGAAGATGATAATGAAAATGAAGAAAAGAATAAACATAAATTAAATAATGAAGAAAATGATGATCAACTAAAAGAAGAAATAGAAAAAAAAAAAATTAATAAGTATAGCGTAAGTAAACTAGAAAATGAAGAACAAAATGAATACAAATTAAATAGAGAATATAATGAAGATAAATTAAATGAAAAAGAAAAAAGAATAGAAGAAAATGATGAGAATATGTATGATTTTTTAACTGAAAATTACTTTATAAATAGTAATCGTGATAATAGTAATAATAATAGTATGCGTTCTACTAATAATAGTGAATATAAAAATAATGTATTTTTTAATAGTAGTAATAAAGAACATAATGATGAAATATATTTTGTAAATGAGAAACATGAACAAATATATGATTGTAATAATATAGATTATGAACAGGATATAATAAAATATATGAATCATAATTTAGGAAATAAATTTTCAATTAATAATAATAACAATAATAATTCAAATGGTGATATTTCAAAAGAGGGAAAAATTTTAGATATTTATAATTCGAAGATGGGAAAATTTTTGCTTGAAGATAAAAGCAATAAAGATTGTAATATAGTAATTGATGATAAAAATACCAATAATAACGATAATGATAAGAAAGAAAATAACAGTAATACTGATTATAATTACGATAATAATTTTAATAAGAGAAATGATAATATTTGTAGCGAACAAAAATCCTTAAATTTAAAAACTGCAAATTTTTCTGATATTAATGAATATAATGGATTCCATAATTCATATGTAATATATAATATGAAAATTATAGATGAATTCTTTAAGAATATAAAAAAAAATACATTTTTTTTTAACACAAAAAGTTATAATAAAAACTTAAATTTATGTAAAATATCTAAATTGAATTATCGATTTTATAACAATATTTTTGAAAAAATGAATTTTGAAAATAATATAGATAATAATACTATTAAAGAAAAAGAAAATATGGAAAAATATAGAAAAATAAGAGAAGATTGTTTAAAAAGGAATGAAAAATATTACGAGGAAAATGATTCTAACATTATGAAGAAAAAATTTAGTGAAAATGGGGAAACAAAAAAATACATAAATGATAATAATAAATTTTTTTTAAATGAAGTTTTTTATAATAATTCTTCAATTGAATTTATTAAAAAAATAAATAGAGAAGTGATTAAAAATTATTTGAAAAATTCGCAACAAATTGAGAAATTATTATTTAAAAAAAAAGTTATGCTAGATGATGTTGTAAAATTGTATAGCTCCAATGTATTTGATGAAAAATATTTTTCTCATATACACTTCGAAAGATTATTTAATAATGCATTTAAAAAAAAAATTGACATAAAAAGTTTTAAAATGTTAAAAAACATTTACAAATATAATTTAAATAGAATATTTAGTAATAACAATAAATATATAATAATAAAAAAAAGAAAAAAATTAAGAAAATTTTGTTATATTATGAAAATTTTTGATATATATAAAAACAAGGAATTTTGGTTTAACATATATTGCCAAAATGCTTTAAAAAAAACGTTTTATAAAAACTTAAATTTGATAATTAATTTACATAATTCATGTATAATTGATTTAAAATTAGTAAACAATTATTTATTAAGTAAAATTTATGAAAATACGACAACTAATTATGTTTCACCAAGTTTATGTTATAATATTAAGAATATTGATTTTTTTTTTAAAGAAAATTTGTATCTTTTAAATAATAGTAGGATGTGCGATATTATTTATAAATATATTATTTTTCACTATTGTAGAAAAAAAGTAAAGAGAAAAAACTTTAATTATTATAATTACCAAGATTTATTCATAGAAGATTTTTTTGGTCAAAATACTCATACAAAAAAAGTACCCAAAATATTAAATGATGATTTAGGAAAAAAAAGTGAAATTATTACAATTGACAGATAAAATAAAAAAAAAAAAAATAAAAATAATATAAAAAGATAGTAGTTAATAAATTAAAAAGAGTAGTATATATAATAACAAAAATAGAAAAAAATATATGAATTTTTAGGAAATAATTTGACTTTTTCATTAAAAAAAATTTTGCTTTTTTAATATTTTATTTTTTTACCGATTCTATATCCCTTGATCATAATAATAATTTATTTTTTTAAGTAGAAATTCTTTTATAATAACAGAAATTTATTTATATAAAATTATTTAGGAAACATATTCATGCTTATATATATATATATATATTACCTTCTATTTACAAATTATTGAAAAGTTATATATACACTTTTTTCTTTTTTTAAATATCCATTAATTACAAAATTTTCTTTATTTTTCATATATTTCAAACAAAGAATATTTCTTAATATGTCTTTATCTTTAAATTTACATTTTTTTCTTTATCAATTTATTCATAATTCTCAAACATTGTTATTTTTTTTAATTGCATAAGTACATATTTGACTATTATTTATCTTAATATAAATATATTATTATTATTATTTTATTTTTTTTTAATTAGATTAAAAATATTTATATCATAATAAATATACTTGAATATTCATGGAACAATTGCTAATACATTGTTATATTTTTAACTTACTGAATTCTTTTTTTTTTTTTTTTTTTTGTTTATTACCTTTTTTTATTCTTTGTTTGATATGAATACAAATTTATCATTATTTTATTTTTACGTTTTTTTTTAAATTATCATAGACTTAAAATATTTTTAACAAAAAAAAAAAATACGATTAATATCTTTTATTATATATCAGATTTTTTTTTTTTTTTTTTATGTTATATTCATTGTATTCTTAAGAAATATACAAATATTAAAAAATAAAGTAAATATATACTCCCTTTAATATATATATATATATATATATTTCTCATATATTTTTTTAATTATTAATTTTAATGCTATATATAAATAATTTTAAAATAATTTTATTTAAACTATTTAAATATCTTAAAGCTGAAACAACATTTATCACAAAAAATAAAATATAAATTACAAATTGTTTTTAAAAAAATTTTCACTGTAATTTTCTCTGTGTTTTTTAAAAACAAAAAGTTAAAAATAAGAAAAGTGTTTTTTTAAGGTTACATGTTATTTTTATAAAATATTTCTAAAATAAAATTATAAAAATAATAATAGATATTTTTCTGCAATAAAAATGTTAACAATTATATTTAGTGTTCTTGTTATTGTCTTTATCATTTGGGGAAGTAGATTATTAAATAAAAAAAAAAAAGAAGCTAACTTAAAAACAGACAATATAACAAAGAATAAAGTAAAAGAAACTCCTAGACATAAAAAAACAACACTAGAAGTTAAGAAAAATATACCACTAATAAAAACCGTGAAAAATAATATTCCCCATGTGTTATTTGATAGGAATATTGCTGTTCTAAAAGGTAATAACTATCCCTTAAGTTTGTGTATAAATGAGAAATATGGTAAGTTAGAAGAAAGAGAAAAAAAAAAAAAAAAAATCATAAATATTATGTAAAAGTTATTAATATTTTAAAAGACCATATTTTACAACATACTATTTTATTTTTCGTGAAATAGGGATTATTGCAATTAGCTGTAATAATGGAAATATTCAAATTCATAAAATTTACAAAGATAATGTAAATAAATCTATTATAAATAAGAAAATGGGGGAAGTATATAGTTGTATTGATATAGATGAAGAAGGAAATCACTTAGTTGCTGTTGATGAATTAACTTCAACATTAAGAATATTTAATATAGAAAAGTCTGAAAATAATATAAAAAATTTTTCTTTAATATTGAAAGGGAAGACAGAATTGCATAAAAAGGATGTTAAATTTTTATATGTTCATAAAAATTCTTATATCATTACAGGTTCAGAATTGGATGAAACAGAAGTAAAAATATGGAATATGAAGGGAGAAATTATAAAAATTATTAGTATCAAACAAATTTATAACCATGATTATGCTATTTCAACATCAGGAAGGTTCGTCTTATAAATTATTTATAAAATTAAAAAAAGGAGAAAAGTTATGAAAGATAACAAATAGCATATAAAAAAAAAAAAAAAATATTATTAAATTATATTCTATATATCCTAAATACACTAACATAAATCAAAAATATATGTATTCATTTATAATTAATTTTTTTTCAGATTTTTTGGTGTTGCTTGTTGGTCTCCTGGAGTTAAAGTATTTGAAATAAAATTGAAAGAAAATGTTTTTCAGAATATTGAAAAGGTCATGGATTTAAAAACTAATTCAGGAACTAAATGTATATGTTTCAGTAACGATGAAGAAAAAGCTTTTATAATTGACAAACATGGAATTTTAACTGCATATAATTTAAACATACGATATAAAGTATAAATTCCTTTTCATTTCTATGAGAATATTAATAAAAAAAAAAAAAAAAGAAAAAAGAGTTTTTTAAAGATGAAATGAAATAAAATATTATGTAATTTTTTTCCTTTTATAGCTTCAAGAAGATTCAAAAATTTTATATAAAAAGGATTTAAAAGAATATAATTTTGAAGATTTTTCAAGAATGTGTAAGGAAATTTATACACCTTTTTTATTTTTTACTTTTTTAAATTATTAAACTTTTTTCTTTTTTTTTTAGCAATGTCTGGTGATTCTAAGTATTTGATTTTAATTTCTGGTTGTAATTTACTAATTTTGAAACAAGAAAATCTTGAAGTATATTTAGCATTACATACTTTTTTCATATGTACATTAATATAATATTTTGTATATTGCTAAAAATGCATATTTCACTGTTCATTTTTTTTAATAATTATATTATGCAATATATAAAATGAATTATAAATACAAATATGTATGTGCATGTTTTTTTTTTTTTAGATGGTAAATAAAATAATGGATTCACATCAATGTGAAATATATAATGTTCGTCCAATTCCTAATTCTTCATTGTTTCTAACATGGGCTGTAAGTTGAATATTTAAATAAGTCAAATGAAAATATTAAAAATTATTACAATTTTAAAAAAAAAAAAAAAAAAAAAAAAAAGATTATACAATAATAAATTTTGTGAAAATAAATCATTATCTTATTTTATTGTGTAAATGTATTAAAATATTTTATTTATTTTTTTTTTTTTTTTTTCCTTAGAATGATGGCTATATAAAATTGTGGAATATATCAAAGGAATAAAAAAGAAAAAAAAAAAAAAGAAAAGAAATGTTCTCAATGTTTATTTATATAAATATATTTTTTTTTTTATGGTTTTTTCTTATTTTGAAAAATAAATTTTATGAAGATAAAAATGATAAAAAAAAAGAAATAGAAATTGGAGTAGTTTTAGGATCTGGTGGTCACACATTTGAGATAATTGAAATATTGAAGATATTAAAAAATAATGACAATATTTTTAATTTCTTTTATGCCAGTAATGACATTTTTAGTAAAATTAAAGTAGAAAAAATATTAAAAAATTATAAAAAAAAATTTTTAATAATTCCAAGGTGTCGAAATGTTGGTGAATCATACATATTATCTTTTATAAAATTTTTTTTCACTTTTATATATTGCATATTTTTAACATATAAAATGAATAATATGAAGTTGATTATAGTAAACGGCCCAGGCACATGCTTACCAGTTGTTTTTTCATTATTATTTAGAAAATATATATTTTTTAAAACAATTAAAATAGTTTACATAGAAAGTGTATGTAGAATATATTCACTGTCTTTAACAGCTAAACTTTTATATGTTTTTGCTGACTTATTTGTTGTATTTTCTGAACATTTAGAAAAAAAATACAAAAAAGCTAAGTTTTATGGCTATTTGTTCTAATAATAAACAACATATTTATGCATAAATTTATTTATTTTTATATGTATTTTTGTATTTTTTTTTTTTTTTTTTTTTTTTTTGAATGAATAACGAATTATAAAAAATATGAAATATTTTTCTTTATTTTATAATTAAAATATAACTACAAATATTTACATATACATAAAATGTTTTTCTTATTTTTTTTAATTATAGTAATTTTGTTCTATGAAAAAGAAAGGTTTTTTCTAGAACAAATTTTCATTCACTTGAAAAATTTTCCGAGTGTTATACAAGAATAAGAAAGTTATTTATTATCAAATAACTGAAAAATACAAATTAAAATTTTTAATATATATATATATATAAATATATATATATATATATACTTTATAAAAATTCTCAAATGTTTAATATAAAAATGAAGAATATAAACATATCATATATATATATATATATATATAATAAAATAACATTTATGATCATTTTTGCAAGTATTACATATTTAATGAGAATAAAAAAAAAAAAAAAAAATTGGCAATAAAATAATTATCCAATCTATCATTTTTTTAACTTTTAATAACTTTTTTTTGAAAATTTTTCTTTCTAATTTAATGCATACGAATAATTTCAAATAAAAATTAAAAAATTTTGGATTAAAAAAATATTTTTAAATGGTTCTAACATTATTTTTAACGTTTATATTTTTTGCGATATAAAACCTTTTTTTTAAGTTAAAAATATACGCGATTAAAGATAATTTTTCATTTATAGTTTTTTTGTTTTTCTTTTATTAAAAATAATACATTTTTTTTTTTTTTTTTTTTTTTTTTTTTATTTTAAATTAAAAATTAATAAATTCAATAATTTCTTTAAATAATCAAAACTTTTTATTAATATTTTGAATCTTTTTTTTTTTAATTACTTTTTAATTTTAAAAATAGTGAATTTTTTAAATAAGTAATATTTAATACGGAATTAAATATCTAATAAAATAAAACAAAAAATCTATAAGAATAAATTTATATTAATAGTTGAAAATTATCAAAATAAAATATATGCTGTAAGTAAAAATAATTGTGCTGAATATATTTTTTTAAAATATACTTAAAGTTATAAAGTTTAATTAATTTTGAAGATATTGTAAAAGGTTCATAGGGATATATTTTCATTTTTATATATACATATGTGTATGTGTGTGTGCACATTTGTATATGTATATAATTAAAATAAAATGATATAAAAATTAAATGAATAGGTTATTTTTTTTAATTTTGTAAAAAATGATATGGAAAAAAGAAAAAAATATGAAAATAGTTACATAAAAACAAATAAAGGAGTATATATAGGAAGAATAGAGAATAAAAAAAAAAATGGATGGGGAATAGCAATAAATAATAATGGTAACAAATATGAAGGGTTATTTCTTAATGATGAAAAGCATTTATTTGGTTCGGAATTATTATGTTGTTTATATAGTCATAATTATAAATATAAAAAAGGTAAAAAATCAAGTGAAGAAGAAAATAGTGAAGAAGAATTTGAAAAAGGAAACATATGCCTTCATGAAAATAGATATATATACATTGGAAACTTTAAAAGAGGAGAAAAATATGGGAATGGAATATTAATTGATTACAATACATATGCTATGTATAATTGCATATTTTTAAAAAATGAAATAATATATAAAGATATATTATTTTCATTATTTAATAATATGCATCCAGAGTATGAAAAATGGAATTCTACATGTAATTATTATGATAAGAAAAATTATACAAAAGAAGGTGAATATAATTTTTCTAATTTTAACAAAAAAAATGAACAGGAATACATGAATTATAATCAATGGAATGAAAACAAAAAAAAAGAAAATGATATATATTTATTCATAGAAAACCATTACAGATATAATATTTTTAACTATAGCAATTTTTTTAGACATACAATGGAAAAAATTAAAAAGGACGATTTTACTGAATCTTTTTATGATTCTAAATATAGAAATAAAGTTTATTTTGGAAATATAAAAAAAAAAAAAAAAAAAAAAAAACTACATGAGGTTCCTTCAAATGATATTAATGAAAAAAAAAAAAATAATAAAAACATTTATGATAAAACTTCTAATTTTATTAATTATGAAGATAAAAAAAAATCATGTGAAAGTACTTCAGATATATTAAAAGACAAAAAAGAAATAGAAAATAATTATTATGAAAAGAATGATATTAATTATTTTGTGGATGAACCATTTCAAAAATATATTGATGATATTTCATTGAGTAAAAGGAACGGATATAAAGAAGAAAAACAAATAGATGACCATATTAATAATGAAAAAAAAGATACAGATAATTATCATACAGGTGAGAAAAATGATAATATTATAAAAGAAAATTCCAACAATTATGAGGACAGTATGAATATTAAAAAGAATATAAATAATTCTTATGATAGTTTTAAAAGAGTTAATATAGATGATACTTTTGCTAACTCAATTAATACTGAAATGAGTAAAAATGTATCTATCAGTAAATTAAAGAATCCTTCAAATGATATAAAAATATTTCTCTTGCAAAATGAAGAAGACAAAATTTGCAAAACAGGAGATAAAAAAAAAGAAAAAAGGGGATTTCTCAGTGATAAAATTATTGACAAAAAATTAAACAATGATGAGAAATATAATATGAAAGAGGTGAGATACCTTATAAAAGATGAATTAGAAAATAAATTTTTAAGTAAAGAAAATATAAAGGAACCAAATGTTTTAAGTAATATTAAATGTGGAAACGGACTTAGTGATCATCATTTTTCAAAGAAAAATATAGAAAAAAATAAAATAGATAATTTATATGAACACAATGATAAAATAGTTTCTTTTGAAAATAGAATTAACTGCGTGGATTCAGACAATGATGAAGTTAATAATAAAAGTGATATTTTAGATAAAAAAAATTTTAAGAGTATGCATAATAATATAGATAATGATAGTACTAGTAGTAGCTCTAGTAGTAGTACTAGTAATTATAATGAGATGAAAAATAATATTACTAGAATTAACAGTGGACATATGACAAATTCTAACAGTAATATTAAAAATGGTGGAAGTTACAGTAGTAGTAGAAGTATTAGCTCCTGTGATAGCATTAGTGACAACGAGAAAATTTTCTTAAATAATGCAAAAAAGGAAGAAAAAAATAATGATAATTATAATGATAACATTAACACTAGTATTAATAATAATATAATATTTAGCGATAGTAATTCTTTATTTAAGATAAATCAAAATAAAGGAATAAAAGAAAAAAAAGAGAATGACATATATAAAAAATGTAATATTTCAGAAGATAACATATCTTTAAGGTTAAAAAATGAGCAAAATTTACATAAAGAACTACATTATATGCTTCCACGATTTTTAAGAAAAGAAAAGAAAGAAAGACATTTATCGTGTGCTCAAAATTGTATATATTGGAGTGTATTTGAATTAAACTTTTTTTTATTTTTTATTGGAATACCTAAAAAAGTTTTAGAAATATTTATAATAAATCATATTGATGGGTACTGTTTAAAATATCTAGAAAAAAAATTATTAAAAAAAATGGGTATACACGACAAAATAATTAGAAAATATATACTATTAGCAGTTCAATATTTGTTAAGATTAAGAGAAAAGTATAAATATAAAAAGAGAAGTAAAAAATTAAATGCAAAAATAGATAGTAATTTTACTTTAAAAAAAAAAAAAATACATTTTTTAAATTTGATTGGTAGAGGAGGATATAGTAATGTATATAGATGTTTTTATGGTGATAACATTTTATCAAATAATGATTGTTTTTATATAAAATATTTGATTAATAACATAGCTTTAAAGATATTTATAAATAAAAAGTATACATCTGAGTTTTTTTCAGAATTACAAATTTTGTCCACTTTAAGGCATCCAAATGTTTCTTTATTTTTAGGTGGAATAAAAAATCCAAGAGGAATAGCTTTAGAGTATATAAGATGTGGTAGTATATTTGATATATTACATAAGCATAAAATGAAAATAAAAATATATGATATAATAAAAATGTGTAAAGATATAACTGCATTTATGTGCTTTTTGCATTATAAAGGAATATTACATTGTGATTTAAAATCATCAAATATATTACTCTCCTTATCAGGAGAAATAAAAATTTGTGATTTTGGTTTATCAGTTCAAAATCCTTATCAAAAACCTAAATATCTAGGAATCGTTGGGACATATCAGTGGACAGCTCCTGAAGTATTAAGGGGAGAAGGTTATACACAACAAGCTGATATATATTCTTTTGGTGTAATTTTATGGGAGCTTTTACATAGGAAAATACCTTTTAATAATTTGAAACATCCGTTAGATATTATTGCAAATGTTGGTTATGGAAATAAAGAATTAGTTATAAATAAAAGTATACCTGAAAAAATCAGATATATTTTAAAAAGATGTTTACATAGAAGTAAACATAAAAGAAAATCTTTCTTTTTTTGGTCTGAATATTTTGATTTACTACATAAAACTCAAGCTATCGATATAGAAGAAAATTTAAACCTTTTTTTTGGTTAATATAATTTATAGTTACGTTTTTTTTTTTTTCTTTTTTTTTTTTTTTTACAAAAAAAAAAAAATATAAAATGAAAAAAAAAGTATATTTACAAAATTACTCAATTTGTTTTTAATAAGTGCTAATAATTTTTTTTTTTTTTTTTTTTTGTTTATTCAATATTTTTTTTAATGATAACAAGAAAAATTGTTATCTTATATTTCATTTATTATAAGACTTTTATATGATAATAAATTTGCAATTTTTACCTTTTTTAAATGATTTTATTTTCTTCTTATTTTTTTTTACAGAAAAAATTATTTTTAGTGCTTTCATATTTTTAATTATTATTATATTTCTTCTTAAAAAATTCCTAATCATGTTAATAATTATCAACTTCGCATTGCAAATAAAGAGTGAACTTTTTTCGTATCTAAAAATATTTATGTAATAAAAATAATCTAAATAATTTTAAAAATAAAAGAATACTTCTTTATTTTGCAACTTTAGGGTAAAATCTTAGTAAATGATCGTTAAATAAAAAGTAAAGGACAAGAGTTAGACAGAATTTAATTTACAATTACTTTTTTATTATATTTTTTTTTTTTTTTTTTCTTTAAATTCTCACTACTGTAAAAAATTTTAATACAAACTTTTGCATGTATTCTATATTTTTATATTATGTAGGTTTCCTCGAATACTGAAATAATTTGTTTAGAGAATGTTCTAATTTTTTATTAAAAATACAAAAAAAAAAAAAGAAAAAAAAAAAAAAAAAAAATAAAAAAAAAAAAAAAAAAAAAAAAAAAAAAAAAAAAAAAAATTAAATAAATATATAAATAAATAAATAAAAAAAAAAAAAATAAAAATAAATAATTATAATATAACACTTCATATACGTAAATAGTAATCAAGAAATAAGAAAAAAAAAAAATTCATAAATATTATAAATTACAAGTTAAAAAATGAATAATTTTGAATTATTTACATAAAAATATGTTATTTTTATTCCCCATTTATTGACAAAAAATTTTTTTTTTATTTATCATTATACATACATCAAATGTAATTTTTTTTTTTTATTTTTTAAATTATTATTTATTTTAGTGATAATAAAATATATTTTTTTCACAATTATTAGTGAATTATTTAAGTATAACTATTTTATACAATTATGTAAAAAAGCGTGTAAAGTAAAATTAAATATAAATAATAGTAAAATATAAATCTAAATTAAATTTCTTATTATTATTTATTCTTTATTTTTTTATATTTTATTTTTTTTTTTTTTTTTTTTTTTTGCTTTTATTTCCATATTAACTTTAATGCTTCATTGTTCTTTGATGTTTACAAGATGAATGTAGAAATAGAAGAAGAAACTCTTCAAATGGCTAAAGATTTTCAAAAATCTAATCAAGAAGAAATATTATTAAAGAAATTAAAACCATTTAGTGAAGGATTATTAAAGCCAAATTCAAATTTATTATATATAAGTGAAAAGGGAACTAGGAACAGAGTTAAAATATGCAATGTTTTAAATATACCAAAAAGTGAAAAAGAATTCAATGAAGGAGTTAAAAAAAATGTGTTTATTGATCAAATAATAACTGTGTGTGGTTGGAGTAAAGCTGTAAGAAAACAGGGAGGTGGAAGGTTTTGTTTTGTAAATTTAAATGATGGTTCATGTCATTTAAACTTACAAGTAATAGTTGATCAACATATAGATAATTATGACAAGTTATTAAAATGTGGTGTTGGGTGTTGTTTTCGTTTTACAGGGAAATTAATATTATCTCCTGTTCAGAATGAATCAAATAAAGGTATATTAAAAGAAAATGTTGAACTAACTTTAAATGATAACAGTGCTCATAGTTTTGAGATATATGGAGAAAATTTAGATCCTCAAAAATATCCACTTTCAAAAAAAAACCATAGTAAAGAATTTTTAAGAGAAGTAGCTCATTTAAGACCACGTAGCTATTTTATTAGCTCTGTTATGAGAATAAGAAATGCTCTTTCAATAGCTACCCATTTATTTTTTCAAAGTAGAGGATTCTTATATATTCATACGCCACTAATTACAGCTTCAGATTGTGAAGGAGGTGGAGAAATGTTTACTGTAACAACTCTGTTAAATGAAAATGGAGATATTGATTCTATACCCAAAATAAAATGCAAAGAACTAAAAAAAGAAAAAAGAGAAGATAATAATATACAAAGTGATGGAGACAAATATATGATTGATTTTAAAAAAGATTTTTTTAATAGGCAAGCATTTTTAACAGTGAGTGGACAACTTTCTGTAGAAAATTTCTGTTCTTCTATGGGAGATGTTTATACATTTGGGCCTACTTTTAGGGCAGAAAATTCACACACATCAAGACATTTAGCTGAATTTTGGATGATAGAACCAGAAATAGCTTTTTCTGATTTATATGACAATATGGAGTTAGCAGAATCATACATAAAATATTGTATTGAATATGTATTAAATAATAATTATCATGATATAGTTTATTTTGAAGAAAATGTAGAAAAAGATTTAATTAAACGATTAAAAAATGTTTTAGAAGAAGATTTTGCAAAAATAACTTATACTAATGCTATTGATTTATTAATGAAATATTCAGAATCTTTTGAAGTTCCAGTACATTGGGGAATGGATTTACAATCTGAACACGAAAGATTTATAGCTGAACGAATATTCAAAAAACCTGTTATTGTATATAATTATCCAAAAGACTTAAAGGCTTTTTATATGAAATTAAATGAAGATAAAAAGACAGTAGCAGCAATGGATGTTTTGGCTCCAAAAATTGGTGAAATTGTAGGTGGATCTCAAAGAGAAGATAACTTAGAATTATTAGATAAAATGATTCAAGAAAAAAAATTAAATTTAGATAATTATTGGTGGTATAGACAATTAAGAAAATATGGATCTCATCCTCATTCAGGTTTTGGATTAGGTTTTGAAAGATTAATTATGTTAGTAACAGGAGTAGATAATATTAAAGATACTATTCCTTTTCCTAGATATTCTGGACATGCAGAATTTTAAAATATTAAAGTTAAATAAAAATAAAATTTTTTAAAGATTAAAAAACTGTTAAATTATTATAAAACTATTATGTGTAACACGAAAAGTTTTATTTTTTTTTTTTTTTTTTTTTTTTTTTTTTTTTTTTTTTT